TCTTCAACTATGACTGAAGGTAACAAGCCACATTAACATCAGTATACACCTGTAACTTTACCAGAACTACAAATGACACTATTTTCATGTTCCTTTACAACAGTTACAGATGTCTCAAAATGTGGTTTATGCTCCATTATGAGAGCTACTATGTTTACTTTCATTTCATTCATCATATGATAAGCAAATATACCATTCAGTTTGTTTATAAATATTTTGGCAGTTATTTTCATATAACTGGTTTCCTTTATAATCCTATTTTATACTATTCATATTAAATATTATTCTGAGTTGTCCACAGGGTTCACCTAACTCCTGAAGGAAGTTAGGGCACAAAGTAAGGTTAGGAACTCCTGCTCTTATAAATAAACCTTTGAACGGTTAAATTCAGAAATATTAACAGTGATCGACAAAAGCAACTTAACTATCAAAACTCAAAGTGTCACCACTACCCGTGAACTAAGTTTGCAATGTACAAAATGAAAATAACGTTTTCCTTATTTGCAGGCTGCTCCACGTTACATATCTCACTAGAAGCTGGTATTAGTTTATAAAACTAGCCATGACACCAAGTCAAAGCCCTGGATGAAAGGAAATAGGCAAGAGAGATGTATTTAGTCAACTCCAAACCAAATAAGCTATCAAACTTTGTACCAAATAACTCAAAAGAAAAAGAACTGCCTCTGTGGCTCAATTAAGATTAAAGCCAAGATAAAAGAGAAGAATGTACCCCAAAAAAATACCACACTAGATCTCTGGTTCAACCCTCACAATTATTAGTACTGAGACACACACCTGGTTCTCAAGGACTCTGGACACAATTATCACATGCACCTGCTTCCTGGTCCTCTTCAACACTCACCTTCTACTCCAAACAACCTTGAACCACGCTACAATCATTTCCAATTCCATACCTCTATTCTATGACCTGTACCAAAATATATATTCTGCCTGTCCTTCAAGTCAGTTGCATGCAACCTTCATCCTCAACAAGCCCTCTCTTTGACAGAGAACCAACCCATCAATTAGCACTTCGTTCTTCAAATGTTCCAAGGACTGTTTAATGCAGAATCTAAAGTTTCTAGAAGGAAACAGTTAACTGATTAATTTAAAATGTCTATAACTAGCCGGGCTCAGTGGCTCAACCTGTAATCCCGCGCCTTTGGGAGGCTGAGGTGAGTGGATTGCCTGACTCCGCGGGTTCGAGACCCGCCTGGGCAGCGAGACCTCATCTCTACAATAAATCAAAAAATCAGCCGGGCGTGGTACGCATGCCTGTAATTCTGGCTACTTGGAAGGCTGAGGCGGAAGGATCGCCAGAGCCCAGCAGGCGAGGCTGCGGTGGCCGGGAGCAGCCACTGCACTCCAGTCTGGGTGACTGAATGAGACTCCAACTCAAAATAAAATAAAATAAAATAAAATAAAATGTCTATAACTGCTACTAAATTAAGCACGCAAAAAAACCAAACCACGATAATCAAGCCATTCCTCCTTAAAATGCCTCATTGTTTATAGTCAGTACAGCAAAGTTAATAAGACACTATCCAAACTCACTAGTCACTTTTCTTCAACCTAAACCATCAAACTGACTGCTTCTACATTACCTACTCAACACACATCTGTTAATTTCCAATTTCAGGCCGGTGCCATGGCTCATGCCTGTAATCCTAGCACTTTGGGAGGCCAAGCCAAGAGGAATGCTTAAGCCCAGGAGTTTGAGACTAGCCTGGGCAAAAGAGTGAGACCATGTCTCCAAAAAAATTCCAACTTCAAACCTTGAGTTCTACTATTTTCTCCACTAGAACCTCCATTCTCTTCCTACATATAAACAAGTCTTTCAGGAAACAGTTAAAGAACCACCTCTTCCAAAAACCTTTCCTTCCCCAAAGACCAGAGTACAACGATCCCTAATTCTAAGGTTCCAAGGACATGAGCATAAATCAGTTGTCCTTGGGTACAAAATGAGTCACAATGACTAAACTGAATGCAGCTCAAGAGGGGGAAGAGAATCTATTTGTGAAAGATGCTTGGCCACAGATAAAAACAAAAGATGGGGGGGAAAGGCTATAATCTATAGAACATGGATCTGTGATCCTCCAAAGTTATCTGCAAAATTAAGTATCAAATTTTTCTGATGAAAGGGACCGTGGCTCCCGATCAAATGGAATACAGTAACCCCCCAAAAAATTAAGTTCTGATCCAAGAAGTATCTTTGTTAGATGATTATTATACAATAGTACTGTATCACTGGGTATTAAACAATAATATAACTGTAACTTCCTAATAATATCCAGAAACTTTCCTGGATATTATAAATTACAATAATATAACTTTCAGTATCATTCTTGGTATTATACAATATAGTTACTTGTATATGAGACAAACTAGTAGATTAAATCTAAAGGACATGCATATCAGAAAACACAGCAGGCCTCAAAGAGTAGCCTCCAGATTACTGAAAATTTTAATTTGGGGAAGTATATTACATATAGGAGATGTGATCGCAACACAGATAAGGAAAAAGTCCCCTAAAAACTTGGTCTGCTAAAGCAATGCAGAGGACATAGAGGGGATAATAACAACCAGTCTCTACCCTCAAGGAGCTTACAATAGAGCCAGGACTATTAGAAAAGTAAACACAAGACAGAACACAGTAACTTATTTTCTTGAAGACCACAGTACTACATAGGCAGACATGACAACTTTGGGGTATAGAGATCAAGAAAGGAAGGTGACAGCACTGAATTTTGAAGAATGAGGTGATTTTAAATTAGAAATGGAAAGTGAAATAAAATGTGAAGAAAAGCAAAAAAGTAAGATAGTCTGGAGTGATAAGATGTAAGAAACAAACACTAATTTCCTGTAGAAAAAGGATTCTTGCTTCTGGACAACTACTAGCTTCTATACAGGAGCCTCGGAAGGTCAAGATCTTGAAGATACATAGGAGTCTTAAGGCCAATGGTTCTCAGGTATGCCAGTAGAATACCAAGTACAAGAATATGTAAAACAATCTCCTCAGAAAAGCAAGAACTATGGCCCATTGGCTAAAACAACAATGATCATAACACATGACAGCAGTATTACCTGTGTAAAAATGCCCTTATGTTACAGCAACCAAGACATGTATAGGAAACGCAAACCCACAATAAATTAATATTCAAAATAATAATATATACTTTCAAAAATAGCTGACATGGAATACAGAGTGAGGGCATTCTTGGTTTTCTATCTCTGAGTTCTATCTTTCAATGTAATCATGCTAAACTACTTGTGGGTGTACAGAAGTACATTTCTGTTCAAGTTCTAATAACTGTCCAGCCTCCAAAAATATTGGTAAAATTATTTCAAAGCCACAGATTAACAAACCAAAAAGAATCTCAACTCTGATTATAAAGTAAAGAACAGTTATATGAAAGAGAGTCAGATTTCTGTTCCTAAGAGATTTGAGACAAACACTTCTTAAATAACAAGGAAGAGGTTAGATGGGTTAGCCTGGGAATTAAAGCTAAGAAACAAAAATGGCCATAAGGAAGAAGAAAAAGCACAGAAAGTTAATCCTTACTGAGAAGTGGGCATACCTACTAGGAACTACAGAAAGAATGGTGGACACTTTTAGTTTACACTCTCTGAAAAAAAGATTTTGTTAATTAAGACTTATATAAACATGGACATTCATATCATTCCTTGAAGGGATTTCTTTTAGTAAACTTCACCTGGTTAACTTTTATATCTAGCTATCTATCAACCAAAACTCACTTTAATAAAACTATTTATGGTAATAACTAAAGATATTATATGGTGTAACTAATCTCCAAAGATCATAAGTTAATTTCCCCATAGATACAGAATTTCTAAATTCAAATGAGATTCTAGTCTTTCAATCCTAAAAGTCTATATTTATGACCCAGTCCAAAACTAAGGAGTAACAGAAATTCATGGCCAAACTGCTTCTACCACACGGGAAAACTGGTACTTAAGATCAGAAAATGGTCTGCCCCTTTTTATAATTAAGACAGTTGATTTTCCTTTAAAAAAAAAAAATGTTTTTTGGGTTTTTTTTGAGTTGGAGTCTCACTCTGTCACCCAGACTGGAGTGCAATGGCCGCTCCCAGCCACTGCAGCCTCGACCTGCTGGGCTCCGGTGATCCTTCCGCCTCAGCCTTCCAAGTAGCTGGAACTATAGGCGCACGCTACCACGCCCGGCTAATGTGTTTTTGATTTATTGTAGAGATGAGGTCTCGCCAAGTTGCCCAGGCCAGTCTCGAACCCGCAGGCTCAGGTAATTCACTCACCTCAGTCTCCCAAAGCGTGGGATTACAGGCTGAGCCACCGAGTCCAGCCAAAAAAATTTTTTTAAATATCAGTTAACTCTAGAAATAGTCCTCCTATGCCTTTAAAAACAGAAGACACACATACAAAGTTTTCCAGGCAATTATGAGTAGAAGAAAGAGCCAAGTAATTTCATTGAAGAATTTACATTGAGTGATTTGTGCTTTCCCCTGATCATATACTAACTCTTCTGAAAGGCACCATATTTTTACTTACATTATCTAGAGTAACTCATTTAATTGTAAAATGTAACTGTTAAGATGACCTAGCAGTACACTTCCAATAGTGGTAGATAATAGCATTTTACTCTTTAAAAACAAAACAATAGCATCACACCACGTAAGTCTTCAGAAAAATTAATTTGGGATCCAAGAGGGTTTTATTACAAGAGGTAACAAAAGCTCACCCACTCCCTAGGCGCTGAGGAGATGGAGAGCTAAAAAGGAAGTACATGAAGAGCAGGGTGATCTCCTGCCAGTGACCTCAGCATGGGAACCAGCTTCATGAGTGAAAAGACATAGAAACTGTTAACCCACATCACTGCTGGGTTAATAAAGGCTAGCTACGCATAGCCTGAAATAATGCCACCCTCCCCGTTCCCCCATCCTTAGTTACTTAAACAATGTGCTGGCTGGAGGGAGAGTAAAGGGTGACAGAGACACACACAGTACCTGTTGTTGAGAATTGTAGTCAAAAAGTCCCACAGTTGCTGCTGCTGAGTCCACAGGTACCTGCGTGCCTGAATAATCAAACTGAAGAGGCTCCATGCCCACATGTTCCATGGGGTCCAAGGGGACACTCTGGGACTCCATGTTGGAGAAATCCTCCACAGGCTTGGCACCATTGGTGCTGGTCAGCTGGGCTAAGCCCTCAGAACCATTCTGGTTTGAACCCAGAAGATCCACTTCATTAGCAGAGTTCTGGCAATTACCAGGGGTACGGCTAAACAAAGAAAGTAAAGGGCATTAAACCTTATTTTGAGCAGGGAGGGACACTACAGTAACCCAAGTTTAAGGACAATGTCCTTGACATAGCTCATTATCAACAGTACTTAAAACTATTCCTATAATATAACCAGAGATTCTTTATGGAATTATATCCTCTAAAATAACTCTTCTGTTGCTGGCATCACTACCTAACCCACCACTTAAATTCACATTAAATGGAATTATGTACAATCCCTTTACCAAGGGGTCCAGATTTGAGGAACACTGAATGAACTGGGGAAGGGGGGGGAGCGGGATCACTGCCAGGAGCATCCATGAAAACAGATCCCAAAATGCAGGTAGCAAAACATGCCCCACAAAAAGCAACATCTACTCTTTAAATATAGAGCCAATGGAAAAAATCAGTATCCAGGGGGAATTTCCAAAACTCAGAATGATTCTAATTAAAAAAGTTTTTACATTTCTGGCATATTTGTGGGGGGGGATGAAAAATGTTTTTACCTATTATTGGTATTACTGGCCAATGCTAAAACTATCACCCCTAAGAAACCGAGAGAAGTAGACCATTTCAAAGTATACAAAATAAATTCATTATCTAGCATATGCCCCTCTTAAGGAGACAATTCTAAGAATTAAAAGTAACGTGAGAATAATTTATCATCCAAACCAGGACATTCCTAAGAGCAAAAAATAAAAATGGGGGAGGAGCACACCCACTAATGATAATTATCCTGGAACACAAGGTTCTGGGTAACCCAGGATATATGATCCTAAATCACTAAATCAGACTACTATATAATATTATATTACACTCAAAAAAGAGTGGCCTGCATCTACATTCAATGCCCTTCATTTCTTATTTTTAAAAAAGAAAAAGTCCTATAACTGGTAATATAGTAAAGGTATCATGTTCCTCCTCCCATGAGCGCTCACGCTCGCGCGCGCTCTCTCTCGCTCGCTCGCTCTCTCTCTCTCTCTCTCTCTCTCTCTCTCACACACACACACACACACACACACACACACACCCCACCACCACCACTACATGCCTCCAGTTCAATACCATAAAATACTGCTAGAGGCTGCTGGAGAGTCAAGGTACAGAGGATACGTGAACTCAAGTGAAAGACCTTAGGTAAGTGCCTTAAATTTCTTCAAAAGACTGTAATTCTTCATGCATGCAAGATACAAAAATGAAATTATGAATACATAACAACTGAAGTTTATTCTACATATGATGATGCAAAACACATTTTAATTTTGGCTTTGGCAGATATTAGAATAAGTGGAGTGGGGTGGGTGGCGGTGGGAGTAGAGATATATACACACACATTAGCTTTAGACTAAAAGTTAAATAACCCGCCTGTGTATCACCAAAGATTTTTATAGATTTTTGAAACTATATACCATAACTAAAGTTGCCGACATAAATGAAGAATACTTGTTAACTGTGTAAGACAAATATACATTATTTTAATACTGTGTAAATTAAATTATAAGGTAAAACCCGCAACTCAGTCATGACCAGAGACAGGATGAGAGGCATCCGAGGAAGGGATAAAGAAAAAGTCATTTAAGCTGCATCTCTGGTTCTTCAAAATGAGAAAAATGATACCTGACCCACCTACCTCAAGAGGAGCTCTTAAGACTAACACACCAGAGAGATATGACACACTTCCATTAGTAACCACAGCTCTCTAGCACAGTGTTGGGAGAAACTCAAGAAAGGTCTCGAGGCATCTACTCCAGGTGATTTTGACATCTGAGAATCACTGAAATAATCTTTTCTGGAATCATTCTGCAAATTCTAGAGCTCTATACATTTGCAAAATCTACCATTTTGGCAACCCATCAGAGATTGACAACTTTTAGAAAATTCCACCTTACCAGTTACTTTACAATCTTTGTGGCATGACCTACACTAGGCTGAATTCTTTAAAAGGAAGCATGGGGTGAGGGGGACAGAAAAAACTAAAATCAAAATAACTAAATCAAAACAAACAAAAACCCATAGCCCACATTCAAAAATCAGAAGTGTAAAACATACAAACCTAAAATCTTTGACGTCTGCATCAATCCCATTCTGCACTGGTAAACCATTGGTCTTGTCCATCACATCACCCTCCTCCTTCAAATCTCCTAGCTTATCTCCATCAAACGTACCCTTGTTCTTCTTTTCACCTTTGTCGTTTTCATCACTGTCTGCATCCCTTGGGCCCTGTTTAAAAAATAGCTTCAGCTTCACTAATCATCATCAACTAAAAATAGTGGGCAACCACTTTGGACACCAGACTACACTAGATGCTACTTAGAACAGAATTGTGTCTATGCCCTTTCAGACATTACAATCTAATTAACAAATAACACAGAGGCAGGAACACTGCAGAAGGTCTTGCCAAATGGGGGAGACAGACACACATTTATGTTACAGTTTAAGACAGTCTTACAACACCCAGTGTCCCACCATCCCATTTTTTTTTTCCTTTCTACCCAAAGCCCAGTCACAATTTTGTATCTCTTAGTTCCACTTCTCTACTCTATAACCTGACTCTTGATAACAGTATGAGTCCTAGGTATGCTAACAGTCTAAAGTATTAAGGCCATAAAAATAACATCATACTTGCTCACTGTCCTATAGAAATTCCTTCACTTCCAAATATTGAGCTAGGCGTGGTCTGACATCATTCCAACTCAATTATTCTATACTTGATCTTGGGATATATACCATACCAATCTGCACCACCCTCCAATTTCACTCTATAAGCCTCACAGGATATATACATCAACAATTCACAACTGACCCTTAACATTAATTTTTTAATGCCTCAGAACAAGTTAAATCTAACTATGAGATTCTTTCACCAAAAACATTTAACTATGTATATGCTATCTTCCACCACCTGACTGCTCCAAGGCATATTATCATGAGGTATGAGTGGGAGTATATAAGATTGAAGCATTTGATGTTATAGAATTTGTCTCTAAAGTGTTTCAAACTACAAAGCTTGAAATGCTGGGCCTAAAACAATTGAGATAGTACCAGACATGTTTAACGTCCTGTCTTCCAAAAAAATTAAACGTGTCTCCTCTTATCAAAATTCTAAACCAAGATCTGGACATATAAAGCAAATGTACCTACATTTCCAAAAGGAAAAGATTTAGTATGGGGACTTGACATTGTACAAAGAGCTTTGCAGAACTTTACACCAAAGGGTTAGGGGTTTAACTTTCGCTTTCATAAAACTAGAGGAAGGCAACCTTCCTTTTCTCTACCACTGACACCTGGTTCAGTGAAGAGAAATGCACAGGGACCAAGTTAAAGTTCCTAGTACAAGGCAAGATCCACTCAAGAGAAGATGAGAGCTGCTACACAGCATTTCCAGTCACCAAAACCAAACTTAGGGGCAGGATGAGGGGTAGGGGAAGAAGCTTAACAATGGAGGACAGAGCAGCAGACACTCAGCTGTGAGTAGATTGACTGTGGACAAGCCTGTAGATGCAAAAAGCAACAGATGCTCTCAGAGGAGTGCTGAGAAATCACTGGCCCAGAAAGTGTGACCCATGAACTCTGATATTCTTAACATTTCAACTACTAAGTTCAGAACCTATTTTACTGTTATTCTCTGTTCAAACATGATTTCGTGGATAATATGGAAAAAAGAATACATATGACAAGGAACTGAAAAAGGATATGCAACTTAGCTTCATGTGGGATTAAGATGGTAAATCACAGCTTTGGCAGCCATTGAGATGTGTCTTTCAGAGTATCTTTAAAGTATAAGGCTATTATTGATTCAAAAGGACAGAATGATAGTCAATTATGTAGTGTACCATGCTGAGATACCGCAAATCACAGATGAGAACATAACAGGGTTACAAAGGCAAAAAGATCTTTTAAAATATCCAAAGGAAACAGCTTCCACCATACTGCAAAGGTAAAACTGATTGAAGCTGTGCATTCATTTTATATCCCTAGCACTGACTACAGTGCCTGATGGAAGTTCACTAAATATAATGAAAAAATTAAAAGAGGTAAAAACTCCTGTAAAACTGAACTGCTAATTAAGAACAATCTTCCTGTTCTCTTCATTATCATCAAATAAGCATCCAGGAGGTCTATGGTCTAGATGATAACACCCTGAAACAGAAACCATTAATGTCAACAGTAAAAGAATATTACAAAGATCATCCCACTACACCTAAGTAATCTTCCACAAGCCTACAATCAAATCACTGGCTCAGAAGAAACAGTTCAGCTCCAGTTTCTCACAAGAAGTTCAAAAGGTCTGCAGGCAAAAATAAAAAGAAAATGGGATGAAGAGGCAGTCAAACTTCAACAACTTGACTTGAAAACTTGTTGAGGAAAATAAATACTAGTCAAATCAATGCTGTGCATTCTCTTTCCTCAGTGACCCTTGACAAGGGCTTGCTGAGAATCTGCTCAGCTCATCTACGTGCTGAGGACTCTGGCCTGAAAACATGGCCACTCAAAGTTACAGTCTCAACTACACTGCCAAGGACAAGATTTTCAAGTATTTCTCTGCAATGGGCTGCTTTTCACCAATACTGTGCAGTCCATTCCTACAAAATACTGCCACGGGGTTTTCTACTCTGAACAAGCTATTGACGCCTAAGGAAAACAGCAGGTTCCTTTTACTGGGATGGAAGATATCCAAGGGATGCTTCCACTTCTTGATCTGGATGCCTGCTGTATGGGTGTTTTCATTCTGAAGAAATTCATGAAGATGAACGTTTATGAGTAGTACGCTTTTCTGTACACAGGTCATATTTCAATAAAAAGTTTACTTAAAAGGAAAAACCTCAACAAATCATCAATGATCTTAAATTAAAATGGTTGGCAGAAGTCTGACTTCTGAATAAAATCAGAAACCAAGGTGCCAAGTGGGAAACCACCTTGTCAAAAATCTATTATTAAAAGATAGTAATGAGTTCAATATTATAAAAATGAGAAATGTGAAGACCCTAAAGAAAATAGAATAAAGGTATAAATGGGCTGCTAAGTTTTATGGAATTTTTATATTTTTAAAAACATTTAAGGCCGGGTGCAGTGGCTAACACCTATAAACCCAGCACTTTGGGAGGCTGAGGTGAGAGAACTGCCTGAGCAACTTGGAGAGATCTCATCTCTACAATAAATCAAAATATTAGCCGGGCATGGTGGCACGTGCCTCTAGTTCCACCAACTACTTAGAAGGCTGAGGTGGTAGGATCGCCTGAGCCCAGCAGGTCGAGGCTGCGGTCACTGTGATCATGCCACTGCATTCCAGCCTGGGCCACAGAGTGAGACTTCAAGTCAAAAAAACCAAAAAAACAAAAGAAAAAAAGGTTTGAGACAAGCTACCCATAGCTATGTGGTCTTTAAGAAAGTACTGGCGCCGGGCTCGGTGGCTCAGCCTGTAATCCTGCGCCTTCAGGAGGCTGAGGTGAGTAGATTGCCTGAGCCTGTGGGTTCGCCTGGGCAACCTGGTGAGACCTCATCTCTACAATAAATCAAAATGAGCCAGGCGTGGTAGCGCGCGCCTGTAGTTCCAGCTACTTGGACGGCTGAGGCGGAAGGACCTCCAGAGTCCAGCAGGTTGAGGCTGAGGTGGCCGGGAGCGGCCACTGCACTCCAGTCTAGGTGACAGTGAGACTCAAAAAAAAAAAAAAAAAAGAAAGTACTGGCACAGGGTGCAAAGAACCTATATTGTATCTCGATTGCTAACACTTACTGGTCACAGGACTTTGGACAGGTCATTTAATCTTTGAGACTTTGTTTACCTACCTATAAAATAAGGACAATTTTATGTAAAACAGAATTATGAACATCAATGCATGTGTAAAAGTTTTGTAAAGCATAGCTATTTTATACAAATGTAATATTAGTAACAAAGAGATGTACTGGGGTGGTATTTCTCATGTATAGCATCAAGACTAAAAAATCTTAAATGATTCTATCAACTAGTTTAACTCCACAAGTTTATGGCCAATACAGCCCTTCTAGGGACCCTGTCATTTTCACAATGTGGTGGTTCTAGAGTTAGGGTTAAGTATCACAATCTTCTTCACATTCACAGATATCTAGGCCTGCCCACTGTCCCAGAGATTGATTTAATTGGTCTGTACTGGCTCCTGCAAATGTTATGGAACAGTTCTCTCCCAATAGCTCTGATAAGCACCCACAAGTGAGAATCAATGTATTTAAGTCCAACATAAGCATCAGAAAGTCTGCGTTTGTGTTGTTTTGCATATTACCTAGTACATAATACAACTGAAAAGGCCTATGAACTAAACAAATGAAAAAATGAAGAAGAATGAACAACATCTTTATTATGAGTTTCCCTAAGATGAATTCAACCCAAAGCTATAGTGCCCAAATACAAGCTTTAGGTAACTGTTCAAAATTTAAGTGGCCTAGCGCAATCAAAATCTCAAGCGTGAAACCAAGAGGAGCATTAAAGAGCTCATGTCTACACAGAGGTGGAAGAACTTCTAGATATCAAAGACCTAGGAGAGAAGCAAACATAGGTAGAAGAACTACACACTAGAGATCAGAATCCAAGCACTTATGGTTCAGTTTCCTCAAAAGACCCACATCAAATGAGGAATGCTTCTAAATCTACCTGCTAATTCTAAATGAAGTCAGAAAAATTATAATTTAATTACTCCTCTCACTATAGTGATCTTGGAACAAAGCTCCACATAGCAGAAATCACATTCAATGAGATTAGGAATGTTCTCCCTTCTAAAAAAAAGATATTTTGTGTATCTGCTTGACACTGAGTCCAAAAACCCTAACAACATTAACTAGTTTTTTCCTGTGCACATTTATCTGCTTTCCACAAAATGCCCAAAAAAGGAAATGTCAAATTCTTTTAAAGTGCAGCAACTTACAGCTCTACTAGTCAAATAATTTCAAGACCAGGTGGAATGACTCACATCTGTAATCCCAATACTTTGGGAAGCAGAGGTGGAAGCATCCCTTGAGGCCAAGAGTTCAACACTAGCCTGGGTAACAATAAGAGCCCATCTTCAAAAATAAAAATAATTAGCCCTGCAAGGTTGTATGTGCCTGTAGTCTCAGCTACTCAGGAGGCTGAGGCAGGAAACTGTTTGAGCCCAGAAGTTTGAGACTGTAGTGAGTTATGGTTGCCCACTGCACTCCAGCATGGGCATGAAAGCAAAACCCTGTCTCTTTAAAAAAAATTTTTTTCAAAT